CTTCCGAAGTAATAAGAAGAGAACGTTTTGAGAAATCGCGACCCTCATCATGACTGAATCTGGCCTGCAAGAACCCTACCATACAGACTGCAATACCCTACCACACACACAGAGTGTTACCCGAACTACAGGTTACTAAAAACTTTCAGGCCAATGCGCGGCCTCCAAAAAAAATTTGGCTGCCCGTTTCTTATTTTACGCGAGCAGGGGGCCGGGTCTACTACAACCCCTCACAACTTTTTTTTTTTTTTTTGACCCCCATTTTTTAAGGTGCGCCGCATGCAGTGTGCGCGCGTCGTGCGGGATGCGCGGTGCGGCGCACGTGCGCAGTGCAGCGCATCGCGATGCGCCGCATGTATGGTATCTTTCCATGTTCTATCTGAAGATTCACTCTCCTTTTCCTCATTTGGTGAGAAGTCGGGTGAGGCCTGTGGTCAGGTTCGCTATGTCCTTGTATTCGGACGTTTGGATGCTGTGGCCCGACAAAACGACCAAAAACTGAAAGGATCAACCCACACCCGGGGGGGGGGGGGGGGGAGAGGGAAGCACAGGTTGTCCTCACGCGACCCTGCCGAACTACAACTCCCATGATTTTTCTGGATACCCATTATGTGAACACTGACAATAAAAAAAGGGAGTGTTAGGTCCTGCAACGGCCCCACCTCCTATCACTACTTGGTTGAGCATCCAGCTATGGCGGCAGCATCGTACCCTAGCTCGGATGTCCGAAGGACAATGGAAAGCTCTCCTGACCCTGCCTGTACCACTGCCAAGCCTACCCTCCGGAGTCTTCTTGACTTCGCAACCCCATCCAGGGGCCATCCCGGTGCTATCCACCATAGCCAACGTAAGCTTCCTCCGCTACTCTCCTCCTCCTGCTTCCTTCCTTCTTCCTTCTCACTTCTCCACCATAGCCATGACTTCCTCCACCTCCCGCCTTGGCCTCCTACACCATAGCTGAGGTGGGAGCCAAGTTCCGCCTTCCTTCTCCACCCAGCGCTTCACCCAACTGCTGAGCGCTTCAGCAGCCTCACAGCTTGCTTTTCAGAAGACTTAGGCTGAGCTCTACGCTGCCTCCATTGATATACCGGGCTGCTAGCCCCTTCGCCTGGTGACTTTCACCAGGCCGTGGCGCCCTCCAAGGCCGACAGGTTCCCTTCCATTTTGGCGGGAACATCGTTGCAGTCGGATATCCCCCCTTTGCAGGCTCTATACCTAGGCCTATAGGACCAGTACCTAACTCGGCCTACCCAAAGGTGCCACCTTTTTATCCTCTTCGGCAACCTACCTGCCGCTACTTTATTTCTGGCCTCCGCGGGCCTCGTTTTTACTAGTCTACCTGCTGCACCCCCGAAGACACATGGCCACAGGTTCGTACCGCGCTCACGGGCCATTCCAGCACACAGATCATCACCAGCAGTCATCCACACCCACAACAGTTCTCATACAGGTCAGTAAGCACACGGGACACAAATAATTGGCGAAGCACACGAACTGGACACTCACTTCGACAGCGGGAATTTAGCAAACACTCAGATCAACAGCAAAAGCTGAGAAAAGCACAGGTTTCAGACTCTCAGAGTCTGCAATTTTGCAGGTTTATTAACTTACTAAGTTACTACAGATAGTACAGAATACTTTCTCTCTTTTTTTTTTGGCTGTGGTCTCGCAAGATGGTAGATAGGGACAGTGCGAGTCCTGAGTTGACCAGATCAACAAAATAACTCCATGACCAACGGGCCCAGCTCAGTTGGTAAAACCAACCCCGCCCTCCCCAACAAAAAAAAAAATAAAAAAAAATAAAAAAATTCAGCTGGTACACCCATGAACTGTTGAAATACAGACCCTAGTTTTGAATCCAGGTGCAACGAGATCGCCATAGCAAAGTCATGCTGAATTACCTGGGGGCAGTCAGTTCAATGATGATATCCCAAGGCCGTGGCCCTTTCTTTTTTCAAGAGGGAGGAGAGAAAGAAAGAAGACGAACAGGACAAAAAACACCCTTGAAGTGTGGATAAACAGACGTGAGTTGAATTGTGTTGGAATCAGATTACGGTGATTACCGTCGTCAAAGACTCATCATGCTAATAAAAGTAACTCTGGGGGCCAAGCAGCCTAGCTCAGTTGGTTGAGCATGTAAGTGGTACACAGGAGGTCGTGGGTTCGATTCCCGACATCATCCATTCGGGTTCCCACGACCCCCCCTGTGTGGCATACTCCGAGCTTCACCGGCTGAGAAAGTTGGCTTGTCCGTCCTGGTTGGTTGTGGAAGTTGATGTCCGACTTCTCAGCCTGCGCCAGGTGTCAGAAGCTTGGGTGCTGCTCCCCCACACAGAGCAGAGTTAGGTAGGCGTAGACCCATAACCTTAGGGATAGCTTAGACCTGATTAGTACATTTAAGGCTGGTTGGTTCTTGTGGTTCGTAGTTGGTAGACTTAGGGAGTGGCATACTTGTGCCCTTCCCTTCCATAGTCAATGACTCTGGCCCCCTCTTGGCCCTAGACCTTGGGACCTTCTAGTTGGTATCGGGCTCTGGATGGTTGCCTATCTTAGGATAGATTAAGTTCTGGGCTTGTCTGGGGGGTGGATGGTCGCTTGCTTGCCTAGGGTAGGCAGTGTGAGGTAGAATAAATGAGAGTAGTAAAAAATGCGGCTGTCCCCCATATGAGGAGAAGACAAGCCTGCATCATTTTTTATTTTTTTTATTTTTTTTTAATTTGGACCATTTCTCGATTTATGCGTGTCATCCTTGCGCAGGGGCCATGCTAATCTTCTCTGTATCGTTCCAAAAAAAAAAAGAAAAAAGTAAGTCTGGGGCATGCGGGTCAGTTCAATCATCAGTGATGATACGTCAAGGCCGTCGTCTTTTTTTTTTTTTTTTTTTTTTGGAAATTTGAATTTTCAGAAAACGAAACAGATATACCGTTCTCGGCCTTTTGGCTAAGATCAAGTGTAGTATCTGTTCTGGTCAGTTTAATATCTGATCCGTGGTCCATCGGACCACACGATATTAAAGAAAAAAAAAGAAAACGAAACAGATGATCCCGCAGCATTCTTTCGAACCTTGAAGTTTAGCCCTACCCAGTTGCAGCTCTCTCATTTTCTTGCTCATTTGGTTTTCGATGCTTTGTGGTGCTTGTATGGATTTTGATTCAGCACTTACAACGCTGATTTTGATGGTGACGAAATGAACGTCCATGTTCCTCAAGATCAGCAAGGGCGAGCTGAAGGATATGAAATTGTCAATGCAGACGAGCAGTATATTGTCCCAACCAGCGGCAATCCCATTCGGAGTTTGATCCAGGTCAGTTCATCACTTACCGTGGTAATTTGACGCAGTTTACGGTAGATTCAGGTTAGTTCCAGGGCTTTTTTTTTTTTTTTAATAAATTTGGACCATTTTCGATTTATGTGTGTCATCCTTACTCAGGGCCCATACTAATCTTCTCGTATCGTTCCAATTTTAACAGGTGTCCCGAAGGACAGGTTAATTCCACGTTAGATTGTGTGACATTTCCGAATGAAGGACAGTACATTGTGGGAAAATCCCACAGTCACCCCTGTGTTAGACACCACTAGGTCCACTACCATGTTGAGCCGTGCGACCCCTAATCCAGCCGCTAAAGCTCAATAAGTTGCGCACGCAGGTTGCGATGAACGGTTTCTTGGTGAGGAGATCAGCTTGGATGGCTCTGCAAGATGAGAGACGGACGGAGAGCTGAATCATGCGAAGTCGTAAATGTAGAGCAGGGTGGGCAAACCATTGGCATCCTAACTCTTATTGTGACTTGGTTTAGTCTGTGTGTTGACGCGACTTGACATGTGCAATTGTTTTCGATGAAACATAGGTCATTGGTGGGTAAAGTACGATGGTAATCTTCAATGCTTGTGCAAGGTCATATACACCCCTCTTCTCGGCCCCCTTGTGGCAATTGGAGAGTAGTATGTTTATCTCAGGGAGGCGGGGGGGTTGGGGGGGGGGATTACAACGGTAGCGGTTGATCTTGCAACAAGGACTTGCACTTTGAAGGGGAATAAGATTTTTCCAATTTTTTTTTTTTTTTTTTTTTTTTTCCGCTCGTTCCTTTTTCTTGATCATGAGGACAATTGTGTTGCAACCGTTCGTGACTATGGTCATCCTTCGAATAGAACATAGGTCGTTAGAGCTGTGTTTGGGGCAACTTTCAGTTGAGACACAGTGATAATGACGGTGTGTTCTATTTGGGTGACGAGGGTAGGCATGACATCTATCAGATCGTTTCCTTTATCTGACATTGAGGAGATTCTGCTCAAACTGGTGCATGTAAGAGCTATTTGCGAAGATTTTTTTAACCCCTCGGCATACCGGCATAAGGCCGCTGCAGCAAACGCATGCCTGCCCTAAGTGAAGGCGGTCCCCTGAATCTCAATTAGCCCTGAACTCGTCAAATTTCGCAAATCTTGTCGGGGGCCAGACAGCTGTCATGCGCCAGCTGGTACATCCGCCTTGCTCATGAGAATCTGATTTGAAATATTTGTGAGCCTTCCCGGCTCTTCCAGCAATGTGGTGAAAGCAGGGAACACCGCACGTTTGTGCCTGGGTGGTTGGGCTTGCCTAACCAATTCGGTCCCAGGCCACTGTCTGCCTGGGCCTGGGCGCAGACTTGGCCGAGACTGAAGCTTACTGGAAACTCGGTCTCACGGGGAAAGCCAGTGGCAACGAGCGCGCCACTTTCCATATAGGAAAGGGCTGGGCTGCGTACAGGGCATTTGGGCACTTGGAGGTGCGAGCGGCGGCGCTGCTGGAGCAGGAGCTCGCGGCTGCATGCTTAGCGCTAGCGCAAGTGCCAGGCGCATGCGGGCATTGGGCAGGGCGCTGCACTAAGGCAGCGCCATAGCGGAGCCCCCATAGCCGGGCTCCAGCTTGGATTGTCAGCGGAGGTGGTAGTGGTCTTCGTGTGTGTGGAAGAAGACATGGGTGAAGAAGGAGAGAGAGAGAGAGAGAGAGAGAGAGAGAGAGAGAGAGAGAGAGAGAGAGAGAGAGAGAGAGAGAGAGAGAGAGAGAGAGAGAGAGA